ACGACTATGACTGCGACTACGACTGCACTGGATCCCGTGCATGTGAATGCGAAGGTACGAGTCGTAGTATACTGCAACTGCTGCTCATGACACTGATGACGACGTTGTGGTGAGCAAAGACAGCAGCGATACCGGCACTAAAGCCTTGCCGAGCGAGGGTCAATACTGAGCGGCATACTAAGACTTCGAACGGCGGGTGAGGGTTCTGCGCAACATCTCAGTAGAGTCTGCGAAATCATCATGTGCGCAGCACCTCCAGCAGCACAGACATGACAGGAGAAGGAACAGCCTACACCAGCTACGATGGTAGGTCTGTCAGCAACTCGCATTGTCATTACTGGGACACTTGTCATGATCATGAGTATTGGAGCCTGGCAGCCTCAGTCATGCCCTTCAGTGATACTGTCGATGTCTAAGAGATGGGACGTTGTGGCCAAACCTCGTTGACGCGTGCAGTGTGCCCAGGACCTGAGCTAGCATGTTGATGCTTCGGGCATAAGGCAATCAGGCTCGTGAGAGAACTGCAAAGCCATGCCAGCGGCGGGCAGCCGCCCCCCTCCAGTGGTTGCGCCCCCAGCAGCGGTGCTACATCATCCGAGCCATTTCCCGACGTTTTTGTTGTTCCGTGTCTTCTCATCAAAGCTACGACTGAAATGCTGGAACGTCTCTATTGGCACAAGCGGTAGTCCAATCTGTAACAGCGGTCGTGGTCGGTCCTGGCAGGCTGTTGCCCAGAGCACGCCGGCGGAGGTGAAAGCAGAGCAAGTCGAGGCCGATGACTGCACTGAGGTGTTGTGTACCAAGGTTTTGGTATGTTATAGCTATAATATATGCACTATAAGTGTGGTCTGTTGTAGTATGCTGACAGCTTTAATTTATGGTTGTTCAGGGCTGCATTACTAGCTGCACTAATTCAGGTTCGTCCGAAAGCTTATCGTTTTTTTTTTTTTTTTCTTTTTCTGGGCTTCTGCTGTAGCATCAAGTCTGTCACTATGGGCGCCTTTTATTGGAATGGCTTTAAGCGTCAACTCGAAGGATGCCACTTCGAGAATTTTTTTCACTCGTCGGCTGCTCTGCATCTCTCTGTTGCTGTGACAAGTACCGTAGAAGTCCGCAACCATTCCGAAACAAGACAACGTTAGGTCCAGACCACAGTCGCAACAGTACCAAACCCCAAACCTCCTTCCTGTGCCAGCCTTGACCTGCACCCCAGCCTACACACCATAGTACACCGAACTTCGTCAAGCTTAGAGCCCCTGTGCAGGATGCAGACGCAGATGTGAACAAGGACAGAGGGCCTACTTACACGGCCTTGTGAGCATGGCCTAACATCGAAGTTGGCCCAGGAGGATCAGCCTGACTTTGGTGGTGAAGAGGACACGAAGTGGGAAAGGGCGAGTTGAGATTTGTGATTGTTTTGCCAGGTGGATGTCTGTTTTGTTTGGTATTTGCTGGTGCAGTTCCTGTGTCTTTCAGGCCAGTCTTGTACCTCGGGCCATAAGAAAAGGCGATGCAAGCCTTGGCGAAAAAAGGTCTGCAACCTCCGGCAGGAGGCCCTGCCCGTGGAAGCCAAGCAAGAGGCCCTCGCCGGATCGGGGTATCGTGTTCCCCTAAACCGTTCCGAAACCCTAAACCCTAAGCCCTAAAGTGCTTTGCTATCGCTTTCGTCTCGGTTTGGGGCCCTCTGACGGGCCCAGGCCAAGGCCTCTCCGTGGCACTCGGAGGTGCAGCGCAGCGTTCCCGACTACGGGGATCTCATCGAAGACGAGGGGATCGTAAGCCGTGGCCTCGTTGCTGTCTTTTTTCCGGAGACATCATGAATCAAAGCCACACAAGCGCTCTAAACCCCAATGCACAAGGTGTGGTCAAGAAGGTCGCGAAGAAAGAAGAGTTGGAGGAGAAGGCTCAATCCTCACTGCAACTTCAGCGCTGAGCCGATTTCAGGTTGAAAGTGCATGCATGTGGTCGTTTCAGCACATCTCAGGACTAAGCTGTCGTCTCGACACGGGGTTCAGCTTCTTCTGGGGGCGACTTGACGGCCTGCAGCGCCTTTCAAACGAGGACGTCAGGGTAAGGAATGGTAGGAAGTGGAGTGCTCCTGGCCAGGGTGAGCCGCGCCCCGATGCTATCCTGATCTCAGGCAGACTGGGTCGGGGTGTTTACAGCTCCGGAGAGTACGTACGTGAGTTCCATTTCTGTGATGGCTTCATGCCTTTGCCGTGATGCTGTTCTTGTTGCAAGCATCAAGTTCTGAGTCGTTCGCCGTATTGGCTCCGAGATGATACTCCTTGAGCACACGAAACCGGTAGGAAGCCGAGCAAAGCCCAGAAAGCCCGGGTCAGAAGCCAAGATGATCTGCACAGCTTGAAGTCTGCTACCCGGTGAACCGGTGAACAGCAGCCCGTTAATCTACACTATTCTGTGCATGGCACGCTCGCTTCGACCTTATGCCGACATGGCAGAAGCGAGCGCGAGAGTGGCAGGCGGTCGGGTTCTAGAAATAGACAGATTGTCCCACAAAGATCATCATACTCTATGTAAAATAGCTAGACTGCAAAAACGCAGGCCCCAGGACAGTCCCTTCTGTGAAATAAAGGTGTGGGCCAGAATCCTCTAGTACTCCAAACCCCAGAATTCCAAAACCTCTGAGCTCAGGCGCAGCTGAAAGAGGTCATTATTGCGGAGGTGGCGGACGGTGTATCCTGATGTATCCTGACCCCAGACCCCTGAGATCTGCTCTATCAGAAGGCAACGGTCGAGTATGCCATATACAACAGAACTTGTGTAGGTGCGGCTATAAAGCTAGATGCGCGGAGACGTGCACCGACACAGTCTTCCTAGATGCATCTGCGCGCACACCAAATTGTTTGTCTGATCTATGCATCGGCTTATTCGCCGTCCACCAATCCAACGGTGTAAGTATGGCACTATGCATAGCTTTATCTATCTCACTTACATGTCTTTTTCACGTTCATGTGCGGGCTGTTCCGAGTACTCTTACTGTCGCCCTGGGGCAAGACTTATGATGTAGCATTGTCTGACAACTTGGTTTCAGGCGAGAGAGGAGCCACCTGGCTTCCCGTCTGTGTGGAAGCTGCTTGGTCAGGATCTTCATAGCAAGATGTGACTAAGATGTGTTGTGTGGTGCGCCGTCGATGTTCTTGGTCCTCGATTGCCATGAAGATGAGTTCGCGCTGGTCATGACGACAAATTGTCCGTGGTTGAACAGGCAGTCAGTAGTCTTGAAAAAGCAGCCGTGGACACTTGCCTGAACTCGACAGTGCGCAGATCGGACAGGCTATCACCCAAATCCAGACCCTGCAGGCCCACAACCGTGCAGTTGTTGCACCTAACAACTCTGTGAGAATGCATAGAAATGGCTCAGCCCCGGATCCCAAACCCATGCACCAAATCCCTGAAACCTCAGTGGAAGCTGCGCAAAAAACCCGAATAAGGCTTTTCCATGCAAAGTTTCGAAGCAGCTTCGAGCGCCGGGAGCGGCCTCCTTGCTTTAAACGTGACCTTGAGTTTCAGGGTTTCTGCCAAACGAGCCGTTTTGAAGTCTTGGGGTTTTGTTGAGCGTTTCTTCGTCGCGCTTCTCCATCCTGTGAGCCTTTTCCGTTTTGTAGCTGCAGATCTTGGCAATACAGTGCCAAGCATGTCATGACCGGCTTTACTGTTTGAACATCGGAGATCGGCTTCAGAGCTTGATCCGAGAACGTGCTCTCAACTCTGTTTCCGAACGGGCGTCACAGCCAAGGCACATAGCCAGTACCAAGTGCTTCAATGCGCTGATCATGCGGCCTGACTTAAACGCTTTGGCTTCGAGTCTGCGTTTCCCGCCCTCGCCCTACTTTGGCAGGCCTGTGTATTCTGCTGCTCTTCTAAACCCCCGAGGACCATGGTGGTCGTGAACACGCTGTTGGTCGGCATTGAGGTAGACTTTGCCATCGAAGTGATGGCTTGGAATCGCTTTGGCACCTTGCCGCAGTCATATTTAGACTCATAATATCTGCGACATGAATCATGCGATCAACCACAATACCAGTAACAGATGCCCATCAGATGGTTGAGGATGTTGGTGATGGTCTTGGTGATATGAATATACATCTAAATAATTTCATAATATTTATGAATATGAATATATACATATATATATAT